CAGGGCGACCCTCCTTCCGCCCCGCCTTCTCCCCCTCCCTCCCGGTCGTCGCCTTCTTCTTCTGTGGGCGGGAAGCTGATGTCCTTCACGCTCCGTTTTTTCCGTGACGGCGAGCCCCCCACTGGTCCCTCCACCTCTGGAGGTGCCTGCCTAGCCTCCTCCTCTCCCCGTCCCGTCTCCGCCGCCTCCCCGTTTCTTGCCGCTTGGCGTGAAGCACCCTTCGCCCTTGTCTTCTTGGAAGGGGACGCGGGTTCGTTCGGTGTCGTCTCCTTTGTCTGGCTTGCTCCCTCCTCCACCACCGTCGGCGCGCCCCGGCCTTTTCCTCCCCCCGCACGGGCCCTTCGCACGGGGGATTTGGGCGCCGAGGGAGGGTCCTGCATTTCCTGTACCTCGTCCGCTGCAGGCGTTGTTCCATCGGCCGGAGTGTGACGTGTCTTTGACCGGCGTGTCACTTGGCTGCCCGTAGCCCCATTCCGTGTCGCGGGCATGCTCAAAGTTGTGCTGCAGAGCGGGGGGACAGGAAAAAAACAGAAACAGAAGCCTCAAAAATACTGTCAAAATGCCATGGCAAAGTCTCTACACGCGTCGCGGAGCTAGCAAGCTTGAAAACGCTCCCAACCCCAAGTATCCCACACCAGCAGCCGAGCATAGGTTAATGGGTAGAAGGACCTCTGTCATCCACCACGCGTTCAAACAAACTAAAACTCTCCATAATTGTTAAGCACTCACCGTATTCTTGGCCAGTGTCACCCACCTGTCCTAAGCTAGACGGGGTGGCGTCAAAGGAAAGAAAAGTGATCGAACAGTGAGGGAGGGAAAGGCGGCATCTTCCTCGGAGGGGAACCTCATTCAAAATGCAAGCTGGTCTCTGGAAAGGACATAGGAACGCAAAATCATCCCACTTTCAAGCTGATGTGCACCATGGGCGAATTTCTAACCGGTGCCCTCCAGAAGCCAGCGGGAAATCGTGGGCATGTGGGTGGGTAGTGCTTGTGGATGGTCGAGACAGGCATTTCTGATCATCCTGCGGTGGTTAGGCAAAGAAAGCCTTTTTTATTCACACCACCCCTTACGCACTGCCGCTGTGGGACGGAGTTGCTACTCACTACACGTGAAATGAGGAGCGGCACGAGCCCTGGTGATGCGGCAACGGCGTGCTGGCGTTGCGGCGTAAGCAGGCTCGATTGTGGTGTTTATCATGGGATTTGCGGCGGACAGGAGCGAAGATTTTTGTTCTTCTTCCCTTCGGTGTTCCCAGCTGAGAGCCATACGACGCCTGCAGGGACAGGAAGTCACGGGACCACGACGACACACGTGTCACTGGCTTTGAGGTATATATATCTAGGAGGGGAGTACGGCGTTGTGGATGCCAGCATTTGCTTGGCAGTAAAGCGGTGAGGAGTTGGGGCGCTTTGGCTGCTCTGCAGGTGCATGGAGAGAAGGAGCCTGAGAGCTTGTGGTGGATAGCTATTCACATTAACAACAACCGCAAGCAACCACGTGGCACATTTTAACCGTCGTTAAGGCATGCAAAAAGCGACCAGGGGTACCGTGGTCTTTGGAAGCGAAGCCTTCGTGTGAGAGCAAGCCCACGTCGGAAGTTTTGAGCGGGCCTGACGTTCTTTATCTCTCCCGCCCATGTTATCCGATGAATACTTCCTTGTTCCTGTGCTTGCTTTTGGGATTGACCGCGGCATGTCCCTGGACAGTGCTTCTTCCCGTATCCTTGTGGGGAGTTTTTGGGACTCGGCCATGCTGGACCAGATTTTGTCATAGGCTTGCCAGCGGTGGCGAGATCCTTATGAAGCTGTCGACCGCAATACGCGTGTGTTCTGATAGCAATTGGCTTGGCGGCAGTGGCCGAGACATTTTCAAATGTGAATCAGATGGCTATTGCTGTGGGCACTTGACTCCTTCTTGGCGATTTCCTGGCCCTGCTGACCAAGTTCCTTCTATATCCATCACGGCATTCCACCACCTTCCCCCTCTAAACATGCGCAGAAACCTTCTTCATCTTGGCAATTGTAGTTATGGCAGACACGACGACACCCACCAACGAGGATGAGCTGGTCGACTACGACGAGGAGAACGAGCAGGAGGAGAAGGTGGGGAAGGGGCTGATGGGGCAAGACGATGAGGATGGAGGGGAGCCGGCGCCCCCGGAGGCCCCAGCTTTGTTGCTCAACGATCCAATTAAAAAACGATAGGGAGCCGAGGCGGGGGGAGATGAAGGACGCAAAGGTCACTACGTGGGGGTGCATGCGTCGGGATTCAAGGATTTTCTTTTGAAGGCGGAATTGCTCAGGGCGCTGGTCGACTGCGGCTTTGAACATCCCTCGGAAGGTGGGATGGGAGGAAGGGAGGGAGGAAGAGGGAGGAGGGAGGGAAGGAGGGAGAGTTGGAT